GCGGCCGCCTCCGTTCTGTGCAGCCAAATGACCCAGGCCCCGCGAAGACATATTGCCACAGCCCCACAAGGAATCCCGCCCGAGTCCGCCTCGGCAGGGCCCGGCCTGGGCCTTTCTTTCCAACTCCCAAGCTCAGCGCGGCCCTGGCGTCTGAGCGCGACCCACTGCCTCCCAGCCCCCACCCCAGGGCTCCGCGACCCCCCCAAGAACCAGGACCCGCCACACGCAGGCCCACCGCACACAAAAATCATCTTTTTGCAGGGCGAGCGCGGCGGAAGTCATTACCAGCCGCGGCGCAGCAATTAGAGTCAGGCCTGGGGATGCGCCGGCCCAGGCGCGGCTCACCGTGTGGCCCGCAGAGCAGGCTCCTGGCGCTGCTGGGGCGCAGAGGGAAAGTTTAAGGGACCCCCGCCCCCTTTTGAATTCAGGGGCAACCTCAGAGTTACTGACCCAGAGACAGAGAAAGCGCGCGAGACAGAAATCCAGGAAGAAGAAAGTTTTCAGAGTACAAATAAACTCGAAAGTGCTCAGGAGGCGAGCTTACCTTAATTCGGAGGGAGCCATTTTTCAGAGAGTTTTGAGAACTTGTGGTTTGGACACTTCTGGACCTAAAATTGACAATTTGAATGACCAGGCGGCACACGTAGCCTGCAAAAGAGTCAAATGGAGTCCAGCGTCAGTGAGATTATATGTTATGTGGTATATAATGTTGGATGTCAACTCCCCAAAACCATAAAACTTACTTTAATGGCCCCACGTGATGTTTTATAGCCAGTGAGCCGATCTGTCTGTGCTATGGATGATTTTACGATCTAATTCATAGACAAAACCCTATTCATTTGGCACCCAAATGTCATATAGCCGGAACTGGGGCTTATAAAGTTTACTGTTTTATAACTTTTAAAAGGAACGACGGCATCAGTGTAAGCAGTCGGTAAATGTGCAAATCTCTAGTTGTGCTTTAGCTGCCCTGAGGAGTTTCCCAATCGAGCTAGGATGGGGTAAGTACCTTCCATTTGTAGCAAATTAATTGTAGCAAAAGAAGCCAACTGGGTTCAGGGTGAGGCGTGGGAAGGGGTGCCTGGGTGGGTTAGAGGCAGCGAGTTTGGGGGCCACAACTTGGCATAGCAGCCTCTTCAAGTGGAGGCCCAGGATGGCCTTAGAAACAGGCAGCATCTGTGTGGGCCCCGTGGGCCGCTAACAAAGCCCTGGGCTTTTCCTCCTTTCTCTCTCTTCCTCTGTTTTGTACCCAGCAAGTTTACTTGGTTTCCTCAGAGATGGGCAGGTTGGACTCAGGCTTTGGGAACACCTACAGCTTTCCACCTTCCGTCCTGAACTTTCTGAAAGGCCAGAGTTAGGAAGGCTGTGGGTCAGGGTGTCCGTCTGAGGTCTCCTGGCACAGGCAGGCTGCTCAGGTAGCCTCAGACTCACCCGCCTCCAGGACTGGACAGACAGGCAGAAGAGCAGAAAGAGCCGCTCACTATTTGGCACAAACCAGACCAAGAGAACTTACAATAGAAAGTTTATTTTTTGTTTCCAGTCAGTATTTTTTCCTTAAAAACAAATACAAAAAAAAAAAAGCTGATCACAGTTTGCTTAAACAGCCAGACTTGGACAATATTTGTAACTTTGTTCACAAAAACATACATCACTGAAGCTGCGCTTATAAGAGCCACTTCCAGAGTTCGTGCAAAGGGTCCTACAAAGGCACGCAGGGACACACCGCTCGGAGTCACAGTTTTCGTCACAGAGTCACTAGTCACTACACGTCAAACAAGTTAAGTTGTGTCTCATCAAGTCACCTCTACAACAGCATTAATTACACAAGGAATATAGGTAGTTTGAATAAAAATATCTTTAACAGCTTGGAGCTATTGAGACAGGAACACTTCCACTCACATGCACAGTTAAACAACTGGAGTGCAACACACAACATTGGCACTAAACGAGGTCGAAGGGAGACTTTTTTGTGTGTTTTTTTTTCTCTTTTCTTTTTTGTTATAGTTACTTCAAGTAACACAGCTTGCTTCATATAAATAAGTTAAAACATCTATTTTTTTTTTCAAGACAAAGCCATTCAGGACAAAGAGATGAACAGAAAGCAGATCTACTTATACAGGCGCTATAATGGCAATAAACAGGCTCATGATTAAAAGATGAATTAGGGCAACGAGAACAGGGCTTCTTCACAGAAGGAACACAGGGGAGTTTCAGAAAGTCACCTTAGTACTGACACTACGCGGGTCCGCTAATACTGCTCAGTACTTTAAACGCTCAAATACTCAGGGGCGGAAGGCCCCTCCTGCCGCCGCCATGCTCATGCTTTTCAGCTTATTATCTTTTTTCCACTTCATTCTCCGGTTTTGGAACCAGATTTTAATTTGTCTCTCGGAGAGGCAAAGAGCATGTGCTATTTCAATCCTCCTTCGGCGGGTCAGGTAGCGATTGAAGTGGAACTCCTTCTCCAGCTCCAGGGTCTGGTAGCGCGTGTAGGCCGTCCGGGCCCTTTTGCCTTCCGGGCCGCCTATGTTGTCTGCAACAGAAAAGTCAGCGGTTTAGCCACCAACTCCTCAGCCCCTGGCCACCAAAGTCCGCCAGCTGGACGAGCCAGGGTCCTGAGCAGGGAACAGGAGAGAAAAAGCTCAACAAGTCCTCCCTCTTCGCCCCCCCAATTTCCTTCCCTCTTCCTTTCTAGAGAGAAAACAATACGATTTGGACTCTGGGAACAATCAGGCCATCTGAGGCTGGAGCTGCGCCCCTGAGGATCCCTCGCTCTCCCCCCAGCCCTCTCCTACCCTCTGGCCCTGCCCTGGTGCCCCGAGGCGAGGGCACAGCCCTTCCAGGCTGCCGTTCAGAAACCCACCAAAGCAGGGCCCTTTTCTGAGAGTCCAAGTGGCCTCTAGATCACTCTCCCTTAAAGTTCCAGCCCCGAGAGCCGCCGCCTGTTCCAGCCTGCACGCTTGGGGCGCCTGCTTTCTTTTTCTTCCCTTTCCTTTCCTGCTCTTCCTCCTGCCCCCAAACTTCAGAGTCCCGCCGGCTCTCGCCGGGATTATGCCCCCCAAGCCCCTTTTCGGGGACTCTAATTAGTAACGCTGTTTCCCCAGCGTAGCCCTCCTCATAAATTATCCGTCCTGACAAGCCCGATTCACAGCCCCTACTGCCATCCTCTACCTCTGCGCCCTGCTTGGCTGGTCTGACCCGGGAGCGCGTTCCGAGGCGCTGGGGTTCGACCTGGGTTTTCTCCTTTCACCCCTTTCCACGTCTAAACTTGCCTATCCAGCGGCTCCCCTCACCACCACCACCCCCACCCTGAGAACGCAGGGCGCTGCGAAGAAGAGGAGGAGGATGGAGGAAGGCGGGGAAGGAGACCGGCGGGGAGAGGCTCCACGGGGCTGGGAGAGGCGAGACCAGGAGAGAGAACGGGGAGAGAGGGCGGTAGAGGAGAGAGGGAGAGGGAGACGGGGAGCCGCGCCCCCGCGGCCGCGTGGATTTAGAAAAAGGCTGGCTTTACCATGACTTATGTGTAGCTTGCGCATCCAAGGGTAGATCTGGGGTTGGGCAGGCGGCGCGGGCTCGGCCTCGCT